ATCCTCCCCCCCCCCCCCCCCCCCCCCCCCCCCCCCCCCCCCCCCCCCCCCCCCCCCCCCCCCCCCCCGCCCCCCCCCCCCCCCCCCCCCCCCCGCCCCCCCCCCCCCCCCCCCCCCCCAAGATCACGAAAACGATAGCATTGAACTAAACTACGTATGCAGCAGTCAACCTACGAACGATTGACTACTCCGTACTCAGTCTTTTACAGATTCTGTAATATAAAATCTCAAAATAACAGCTTCAATGCACCATACATCAATGCCATCACATCTGCAAAGTGCACAGGCCAGCTGATAAGCCGTTATCGCATTTCCCACGCGTTTCTTTCGCGTCTTTCCTTCACTGCTCTTCTTTACTTGGAATCACCAAATCACTCACAATGGTTCAAGCTGAATCTTCCTCTGCTTCTCGCAATGCTGCTAAGGCAAATACTGCCGGTGCCCCTGTGGACTATGAGCTTCCCTGGTAGGCTTTCCTTTCTTGACAATATCAGGTAGAGCTAATCTTTGGCTTGTCAATAGGGTCGAGAAATACCGCCCAACCTTCCTCGATGATATTGTCGGCAACACTGAAACAGTGGAACGGTTAAAGATCATTGCCAAAGATGGTAATATGCCACACGTTATCATCTCTGGCATGCCGGGTATTGGAAAGACCACTTCAGTATTATGTCTGGCGCGGCAAATGCTGGGAGATGCATACAAGGAGGCAGTTCTGGAGCTGAATGCAAGTGATGAGAGAGGTTAGTTGTGGCATAATCGCTCTCATGACTTGGTCGATATTGATGCTGTGGTCTAGGTATCGATGTGGTGCGAAATCGGATCAAAGGTTTTGCCCAAAAGAAGGTTACCCTGCCACAAGGACGCCATAAATTGGTCATCCTTGATGAAGCTGATAGGTTTGTTCTCGTCAGAGTTTCCTTCTGGTCACTGGACTCACGTCTCCCCGCAGCATGACCGCCGGTGCTCAACAAGCCCTACGACGAACTATGGAAATCTATTCCTCCACCACACGATTTGCCTTTGCCTGTAACCAGTCGAACAAGATCATCGAACCCATTCAATCCCGTTGCGCCATTCTCCGTTATGCCCGACTGACAGATGCTCAGGTGGTCAAACGGTTGATGCAGATTTGCGAGGCGGAGAATGTCCAGCACTCCGAGGATGGAATCGCTGCACTTGTTTTCAGTGCAGAGGGCGACATGCGTCAGGCCATCAACAACCTGCAGAGTACTTGGTCCGGTTTCGGTTTCGTCAGCGGAGACAATGTTTTCCGAGTAGTCGACAGCCCGCACCCGATCAAAGTTCAGGCCATGATCAAGGCTTGTTGGGAAGGCAAGGTGGATGTGGCACTGGAGGGGCTGAACGAGCTATGGTATGTTGTAAATTTGTTTGTTTTGGGGTGCTGGTTTCTAACCGATCTATCTAAAGGACCCTGGGTTACTCCTCTCACGACATCATAAGTACCATGTTTCGAGTCACCAAGACCATCCCCACATTGTCTGAGCATTCCAAATTGGAGTTCATTCGGGAGATTGGATTCACGCATATGCGTATTCTGGATGGTGTGCAGTCACTACTTCAATTGAGTGGCTGTGTGGCGAAGCTTTGCAAGATTAACATGAAACCAGATTTGTTCGAGCCTCCCAAGGCTTGAGACTCAAGAGTTCTTGCCTTGTTGCATATTCCCACGGCGTTTGTCATTTAAGTGACTCTGGAGGCAGATATCCCATCAAGCTGCATAATGAGTTGCGTCTACCATTTATTCCAAATATCAGTGCAATCCACGGCGATGTACGCTATTCAGTCTGCGAGTTGACCCAACTTTATATTCTGCCTATAAATCCTAGATAGCTCAATTGGATTTGTCGACATGACTTTTCCAGAGCTTCTCAATAACTGTAGCAGCCCCCAATACCTTCTCTTCTTGGAGTTTCTTCCCGATGATCTGCAGATTCACCGGATATCCATCCGCCTGTTTCAGATCGAACAGATTCCAATTCCACTCGTCGACACTGTTTCTTGGGACATAAGGCTCCGAGGGCAACACATCCAGATCAGCCCTCACCCTATCCACCGGGAATGTCAAAGCCGGATAATCCAGCAGATTCCAAATCTTAGTATAACCAACCCAACGGAATTTCCGATGAGGCACAGTCGTATGCGACAAAGTAGGGCTTAGCAGAACGTCAACAGCACGACCTGAAGGGGACCGCACGGCATTCCACTTATCCAGATATTTCTTTTGCACTGCAGCTTTCCGCTTGTTCAACTGCCAATAATCATAGACTGAGATAGCCTTGCCTCGGTTAACCAGTGCTTCAACGTGAGGAATAAACGGCTCGCCGGCGACAGCTACATCCTGACGAATATCCTCACCCCCGTCGACCGTGTAGAAGAGATCCATGATCTCAATGCACCCCGCATGGTCAGATGTATCCCAGACCACAACCTCGTGGCCATTTGCTTTAAGCACCGTCGAGAGTTCTTGTAGGGCGCGCAAAATAGGCGGGTGGACCTTTACTATGCCATCATCCAGAATCAAGCCGATGACCAAAGGTCGGTCTTGGGGTTCTTGGAATGCAGTCTCGTTCCAGGGGAGAGGAGCGCATCGCGAATCGAGGTCCCAGGGCTGACTATTCGCTAGCAGACGGCTCATGTAGCAGATAGACGAGAGATTCCGGGCCATCGGGCCGATGGAAGATGGGACATGTTCTTGACCTTCAGTGGAGACGGGTACACCCTCATAGGGGAGTCTGGCACTCTGTTCGGAAGTTTATCAGCACATATCGTTGGATAGGCAGTTTGTTCCTGGCGGTTGGTATTTACGCTTGGTTTGAAGCCATACAATCCCACTATAGCCTGTGGCATTCTTATACTTCCGCCGATATCAGTTCCGAATCCGAACAGCGATCCATGCAATGTCAACAAAGCGGCTTCGCCGCCACTTGAGCCGCCGGGTGTAAAGATTGGATTGCGAGGATTGGTTGTGAGTCCCCAGAGAGGATTATCGGTTTCGGCCCACTGGAAATGAAGTCAATCTCCGAATCGGATACAGCTAGTGATGATGCTCAGACGAACCATGATACTCTGTGGAAGGTTTGTCTTCGCGATGACGATAGCGCCCATGTTCTTCAAGATCTGCACGAGCACTGCGTCTTCCTGGGCAGGGGCGAAGCACCTGCCCACATATCCCAAGGTCGTGTCAACGCCTTTGACATTGAATTGGTCTTTCAGCGTGATCGGGATTCCATGCAGGGGACCCTTGAGCTTTCCGGTTTCTGCAAACTCGACGTCTAGCTGCTTTGCCTGTCCTAAGGCATCTTCGAAAAGAATCTCGGTCAGGCTGTTTGTCTATTCATGCAAGATTACATCAGTGAGTTGGTCGATGGAAATAGGGACGAGGATGAAAGACACATACCAATTGATGTGCAACCACAACCCTACCGAGGATATTAGTATATGGTCAATTCCAACGCCGATAGCAGACATGATAGCAGACATACCGTTGGATATATGCCTTGATCACCTGTTCGGCTTGGAACTCCCCCTTCCCCAGGCATTCCAGTAGGGCGGCAACATTGTCAATATCTGTTATCTTCTGAATCAAGGGATCTTCTAGCCGAGTACGCTCCTCGGGGTTCTGTACTTGCGGCAGACGTTGAGCTACATCAACTAAGTACGGTGCGATAAGTTGGTCTCTGATGAGCCTTTTGTGAGCGACAATCTCTTCCCACGACTGTGAACTGCCCATTTTTGCTATCATTTGCCATTTTCACGGAGGTCAAGACTAGCTTAATATAGTCTGCTCGGACTACACTCCGAGGGCCACTCTTATCAAGTGGAGACGTGGCACATTCTGGTCAAATGCCATATATGAATTGATTGGTTTTTTTCTTCAGTCCAATCTCAGCGGGACTTGCCGTTCCCCAGTTAATTTGGCGGGTTTTTTCATGATCTTCTTGACGTGAAGATCGTTCGAGGAGCGAAAAGAGAGGAAACAGGAGAGGGGAAGGGGGCCAATGTGGGTCAGACCCTTCGACCTCACTAGATTTTATGTCCGACAATCTCTCTCTACCTGAGCCTATAGCTCTGCAGCTACTTCGTATTCAGCTTTATCTTTATATTATGGAAATTAGATCGCCAGGCTCTGCCACTGGCCCCATTCGATCTCATAAATCGCCTATTGCCAAGAGGGCATGTGACCAATGCAAATTTCGCAAGATCAAGGTAGGATATCCACCGCCCCCTATATATTAAATGAACAGTCAATGTACTAACTGACCACCCCAGTGTAGCTTGTCACAGCCCTGCAAGGCCTGTGAGTCTATGGGCTTCGATTGTACATTCCTTCAACCACAGAAGAAGCGCGGACCAACCGGGCAGTGAGTAATGGCCCGTGACTATGAATAATCTCACTGACAGGGACAAAGTCGCGTGTCGCAAATTCGACAGCAGCAAACTGTCATTCCTACTCAAGAGTCTAAGAATGGCTTCCAATTTCAAGCTCCATCCTCATCGGTGGAGTCTGGTCAAGCTTTACCTAGAGCACCTTGGGGGGCCCCCACTCATGGTCCAGCCACGATGCCCTTAGAGGGCGCCGGATTGGCACCTGCAGGTATACCTCCTCCGATGGCAGCCTGGGGTGAGGAAACCCCATCTATAGATTCTCACAACAGCGGCCTGAGCTGGAACGATCGAAATGACGTCGAGTACTGGCTTCCGGATAATCTGGATGCGCAAGTCCCTATCTTCGATTTACCAGGAAGTAATGTATATCTCCGGCCATCTCTCCCGTCTATTATTCAACCTGTCCCCGATGCTGCGGCTGCGGCCATAGGGATACCCCAGGAAGGTCCAAATATGGCATTCTCACCAACCGTGAGGTCTATGCGCTCAGATACCCAGGAGACCGACGCAATCTGGCCATCCACAATCAATGAAGCAAATATAATCCCTTGGATCGATGTCTACTTTGATCGGCTACATCCGACCATACCCGTGCTCAACCGGTCATCCCTGTACACCTCAATGATCACACAAGAGCATCGCAAGAACTCTCAGTTCGGGGCCATGCTCTTGTCGTTATGTGCATTCTCGCTCACACAGCCAATTGAGATCAACGAGCGGCCGACGTCCTCATCTCGAGCTCTGCAAGCACGAGCCATGATGAACGCAGCGACCAAAATGCGAAGCTGTTCAGATTTTGGCGAGAATCCAACTATTGAAGCTGTTCTAACGAGTTTCTTCCTCTTTGGCTGTTTGTTTGGAAGTAACCAGCACAACGCAGCATGGCTCCGGATACGGGAGGCACTAGATCTTGCGGCCACGCTGGGATTGAATGATCCCGAGTCATATCAGGATTTGTCTGGGGAAGAGAAAGGCCAGCGGCTGCGAACGTACCTCGTCCTCTCTATTACAGAAAGGTAATCAAAGTGACTAGCCCTGTTCAAAATCAACTCGCTGACCATAAACTTCAGAGCCTATGCTTTGCAACGGCGACATCCAATAACCTTCTGGGGGAAGCCCGGATTCACTATGCGGTCAGTGCATGACTTCATCCACAGCGCCACGCATAGCGTCGTCTCTGGAATTGTGGTCCACAACGAGAAGGATGCCGAGGGAATGATGGGTCTCGCACGAATGATGGAACTATTCGATGCCATCGACGAAGATGTCATCGACTGCTGGAACCGCCGATGTGATGGTAGCAACGGGTACTGCCAGAGACTGACCGCAGTCAAGGCACTCTCCATCCACCAAAATCTCAATCGAGTCAACCAAGCCGAACGATATCGCGGCTATGACTGGTTCGAGCGAGCCAAGGAAGGCCGCGAAAGCAGAAATGTCACATTTGCCATGGGCCTACGAGAGACCCAAGCAGCGGACGTTTTTATCACCCAGAAATGGCTCCAGAACCGTGTCTGGCTCCTCTCCTCAACCCACGGCCTTCTGAGTGCCCATTCGGAACAACCCGAGCTAAGCTTCGGATATGCCGTCTCCGTTGCTGAATCCACTCTCCGGCTGTGCCAGTCATTACGGCTGAGCTCCATGGAAGCCCATGGTATCGGTTTGGTGTGTAACTTGCTGTAATCTCTGACCTTTATCCCTTACTAACAACTCAACATCTAGACCGAAAAGCTGTACGATATCGCAATCTGCGCCACAAACATCCTATGCAACACAAATCCCTCTTACGGGATTGGCCTAAACATGCCCGTCAATTTCCCCGAAATAATACCGACAACTACAACTTCCACAGCCCAGAGTCTCGCAGAAGACTTTTTGTTACTTATGACCAGCTTCCGCGGTGGAAACCATCCTTACCTGGAGAAGTATAGAGCTCACCTACGCTCGCTACAGATCATGGAACCCAAAGCTCCAGAGTGGGCGCAATGATGAGGCTCTTAGGGAGGTTTTTTCTGCTACTTGGCCTGCGTCATTTTCCAATTCCTTGCACGAACGGGTCTTCGATTTGTACAATTTACTTTTTTTATACCTTGGCTCATGCCATGGAAAAATCGGGTTTCACTAGATTTTACAGTGTACCAATATAGCGAGTTCAACTATACCCAAGTTTATATATCCATGATCGGTACAACGCGAAAAGCATAGAGTATTTACTCGAGTATATTTTACAGACTTCAATTAGAAAAATAAACCAATCGAGGCTCTGTCACAAATCCTTTTCACGGGCCCTCAACTCCAATGAAGTCTCATACGACCTCCACTTCCACATAGGGATCTTAGCCGCGTACATCTCATCAATCTCAGCAAAAGTCCGGCCACGCGTCTCCGGCATGAAAAAGTAGAAAAAGACAATGATAACAGCCATGCAGGCAGCGAAGACGAGATAAGTCTTCGCACCAAGGTTAGCTGCATCCGCCGAAGTCAGCTGCGGAACAACGAGGGTGGTGATAACGGCGGTTGTTTGTGCACAGGCGATCGTGTAGGCCATGGTGTGGTGGCGGAGTTTGGGAGTTGCCATCTCGGAGGGCATTAGGATTGACAGCGAGAAGAAGGAAGAGGCCCAGAAGAAGTTGAATACGAAGGACAAAGCGGCAATGGCCATAGTGGCTTTCTTGTTGCTATTGTCAAAAGCTAAGCCACCAGCCACGGCGTCGATTACGAACAGAATCCCCATTCCGACGAATGCCGTGGGACGTCGACCGGCACGGTCGATGACGAAGGGTGCGGCCATAGTGCCGGCTAATGTGCAGCAGGATGAGATGATTGTCAGGGCGAAGACGTCTGCAACCCCTAGTACTGTGAGGAAGACGGTTGTATACGTTGTTGAAAGAATGACGCCTGATATTTGGTTAAGAGAGAAAAATGAGCCCGCAGTGAGGGTACGCTTGAGGTGCTCTCGTTGGAATATATGCCAGAACTTGGTCTGGGCGTGTATCTCGCGCTCATTTTCTTCAGACAGCATCATGAGACGGAGTTCATCTTCAACCTCGTCGTCACTGGACCCACGCAGTTTCCGCAGGTTGCGTCGAGCGTTTTCTATATTTCCCTTCCCGACCAGCCATTGCGGGCTTTCTGGAAGGGGCACCGTTAGGAACAGAAGAAGCACAGGCAGAGCACATTGTACAGCCATTGGAATCTGGTACGATAGGTTCCCTTCAATCTTTTCAGTTCTGAAGACCACCACAGTACCTACCACGCCAGCGGTTAGATTCAAAATATTCATTGAACTGACGCATCTTCCACGTATAGAGGCGGGAACCACCTAATTGTAAGAATGAGCGAGATTGAACATTGAACAAGCGGTAGGGATCAATACCTCGGAGATATACAAAGGGGCAGTTGCATTTATGATACCCAAAGCAACCGAATTGATAGAACGACCTCCCACAAAGGACCCCAAATTTGGCGCAAAGACTTGCAGCAATCCGCCACCGATAGATATGAAATACGCAATAATCAAAGGCCATTTGCGACCAAGGTGGAAATTCAGTGGCGAAGCAAGCAGACCTCCGATCACGGACGCCACCAATGGAAGGGAGAAAACTAGATTTTGATTGCGAGCCGTGAGGACATACTGCCCAGTGACTGGGTTAGGTCCTTGGAATTTCTCGACCTGCTCCGAATCAGCTTGGAACATTTTGTGTTATGAAAAAAACGAGCACTTACAAAATCCGGCAATGCAGCAACCGGGGATATAATCTTGTCATCGAATCCGTACAAGAATGATGCGGCACCGAACACTGTACAGGCGAAAATTAACTGGACATTGACCGCGTGCGACTTCCGCGCGCCCGAGTTCGAGTAGTCGACTTGAGTCTCAGTCGAGCCACACTTGAAAGACATGCAGATTGTGTGAGCCAATCCTTGGAAGACACACTTCCATAAGGCTCAAGTTGTATGTTGAAGAAAGGGAGTTCCCCGGATTCCCCAAAATCCTAAACTCCCCGGATTTATTAGGGGAAGTTTCTCCGAGATCTCCCATTGCGACTCGAGGGAATGCATCTTCATTGCATATATTCAGATCAGAAACCCGTCTGACTATCGCATTATATACTCTAATGCTTTGTATAGACTTGTTTTGATTTGCATTGATTTATATTGATCTATATATTGCATTTCGCCGACAATCCTCCTTACACCGAACCTATTCCCGATTAACCCCCGAATCGTCTTGAAGACCGGACTCGTTCAAGATTTCCTATGTTTTAAGGTGTGCGAATCCGAGCAACCTCGTAAAACTCATATTCCCGGCTAGATGAGTGGATTATTGGCGAAATGCACGGATTAACCCATGAAGTTAATGGCCTATCTCATGAAGAGAAATCGCTTCGTAATCCTTCACAATGGAGACCATCATTCCATGTCATGGCACCAGCAGGATGGATGAATGACCCAAATGGATTGGGATACGACCCAAAAACAAGCTTATACCATTTATGCTTCCAATGGAACCCGCACGGGAATGATTGGGGCAATATCTCCTGGGGCCATGCTATATCTCCAGACCTGGTGTCATGGGCGATATCCACCGATCCCATCTTGACGCCCGCTACTAAATATGACCGCCTCGGTGTCTTTACGGGATGTCTACAGGCAACCGATGCCTTTGGACAGCCGGGAGCTCTCACAGCCATATACACCTCCGTGAGCCATCTCCCAATCCGTTATACGCTCCCATATACACTCGGTAGTGAGTCTCTCAGTTTAGCTGTCTCGCAAGACGGAGGCAAGACCTGGGAGCGCCAGACCTGCAACCCGTTCCTCACTGGCCCGCCTCCACATCTTAATGTGACGGGCTGGAGAGATCCTTTTATCACAACTTGGGCCGAAGGACCTCTTTCCAAACACACACCGTCAACACTATATGGCTTTGTGTCAGGAGGGATTTCCAAGAAAACTCCAACAGTATTTGTCTACACTGTCCAAGCAACAGATCTCAGCAAGTGGGAGTTCATTGGCCCATTGATCGACGTCGGCCTCAATCTACATCCATCTCGCTGGTCAGGCGACTATGGTCTGAACTGGGAAGTTGCTAATCTGATGACCTTGACCAATGATACCACGTCTCGGGACTTCATCATAATGGGAGCCGAGGGCTGTGTGCCATTCGAGAGTTCAAACCAAGACGCGGCCCAAGAAGCACGTCGGAGACGAGAACCCCGAGGCCAGTTCTGGATATCTGTCACATCCAACGGAGAAAAGCAATCTACCTCCACAGACGGTGCTCTAGCCTCATATGCTTTCTCTGGTATCTTCGATCATGGCTGCTACTATGCGGCGAACTCCTTCTACGACCCTCAAACCTCGCAACGTATCGTCTATGGCTGGATCACGGAAGAGGACCTGTCCAATACTCTGCGTCATCGCCAAGGATTCAGTGGCCTGCTTTCACTTCCTCGTGTAGTGGGATTGATGACAACGAGAAATGTCAAGAAGGCACGAATCTCGGAGTTAAGTTCGATTACCTCAATTGAAGCAGTCCCCGATGCACCTGGTACCGGTACTTTCACGATCCATACCATGAAGATCAACCCAGATAGCCGACTTGCGCGGCTCAGACAGAGTGCACGGGAGAGCCACCTCGCTGACGTTGCCCTGTCTACATCACCTTCACAAAGTGCGATGCTGTTGGGGACATCTAAATGGGAAATCGACGCCGAATTCTCGGTTAGTAGATCCTGTGCACGTGTGGGTATCAGGATTCTACACACTCATGGTAAGACATTTTTCTGATTCTTCGGATTCATCTTATATATACTGAACTGATACTCGTTCATCTAGACGGTCAAGATTGCACGACCCTTTCCTGGGACCCACGAAGTGAGACCTTCGAAATCCATCGACCTTTGATTGACGACACTGAAGTAAACCATGGCTATGAAACTGCTCCGCACACGCTATTTACTTGCCTGAATGAGCGAGGTGACGAGGTTGAAGAAACTCTTCGAGTGCACGCTTTCTTCGACTCAAGTGTGTTAGAAGTTTTTGTCAATGACAGAACGGTCATATCTACACGAATCTACCACCCAGAAGCTAATTGCTTCGGACTACTGTTCTTCGCAGAGTCTGATGCTGGGGTGGACGGGGATCAGCCTGCAGTTCTCGTGCGAGCTTCTATATGGGATGGGCTTGGTGTATGAGAGATTACAATATGCAAATATTATGAAGATTATATACAGTATGCACCGCATGTAGTATGCAGCGCGCTAGATCTCTAATAAAACAGGGTAGAAGTAGACGCGGCGTGGGGCATCATGCAACGAGCAAAAAGATGAAGCAATCAGAATGCACCCGCCTAAAGCCATGGTCATCACATCGTCGCCAAAAAGGCTTCCATTGGAAGCGCAAATACACGCACAAACACCAGAGACAGCTTTCACTTCGCACCATACACCCTAGCTATATACGCATGGGTATCACAATCATACAAGCGAACAGGATCAGAGCAGGCGGAGAGTTTCCCCGAATTTATCGGCGCTTCCAGAATTTCCAGCTGGGAAGATCGATTCGACCATCTCGCTTATAAATACGCCAGTAGTAGACGGGCACGCCGGTGATGATGAACGCGACGACGATGAGCGTTTGCAAGGGCTCGGAGATGACAGCTCGGCTGAGGAGGAAAAGGCTCACGCAGCAAAATATAATGGGTGTGGTGATCCAGGTGCGGTAGGGACGTTCCAACAGGGGTTCACGGATACGGAGGACGATCAGGCCGAGAACGGTGAGGAAGTAGAAGGTGTATCCGGCTACACCATAGAAAGTGACGAGGGTGCCGAACTCGCCGACGACGATGTAGATAGTTGTTAGGACGCCGTTAAAAGCCATGGCATATATTGGCGTGAAGCCGAGTCTGGAGTTATCGCCGAAGAAACGGGAGAGGGCCCTGCTGGCCCAGGAGCGGCGGCGTAGTCGGCTGCTTGCTGGAGGGCCTTGCGAGGAGGCGTGGAGACCGATCCGGCCGAATATTGAGGGGAGATACCCTTCCTTGCCGGCTGCGTAGACTAGTCGGCCACTTGTGAAGGTGGTTGCGTTTAGAGCTCCGAAGCAGCTGGCTGAGACGACGAGAGCTAAAATCAAGGCTCCGGGGGCGCCGAATACCTTTGCGCCGAATTGGACGGCGATGGTGTTGCTCGCCTCAATGGTGGAGTGAGGAAGAACAAGGAAATAGGAGACATTGGCGAGCAGATAGGAGATGATGACCAGTGGCATCGCCGTGTGGATGACTCGGGGCAGATCGCGGTTTGGGTTCTTGAATTCGCCCGTCACGTAGTTGGTCTGTAAGATGTGAGTGGAAGCATTCAAAATACTTGAGTGTCAACTTACATTGTCCCAGCCGTCAAATGCCCAAAGACCTGCATACAGGGCCACTGCAAAATCAGATATCTCGGTGGTGGTTCCCTCGAACCATCCTGTCGTCTTCCATTCTTCATTTGCGTTGCCTCCAGCCGAGAAGCCAGTTACAGCGACTATAATCCCGATGACTGTGACACCTAGCAGAGCAACGAACTTGAAGAACATAAAGAAATCACCAATGCGGGTAGCGAACTTGGTGGAGATGCAATTGAGCAGAGTCACTGCGACAAGCCCTCCAAATGCAACACCCTTGTTGATCCAAGGATTTACGTCGCCAACATCAGCGCCCACAAACGCACGGACAACGTATTCGCCAAAGATGAGAGAGATAATCGCCGCAGAGCCAGGTTTCAATACTAACACGGCACACCATGCGAAAAGGAAACCCGTCAGCTCTCCAAAGATCTTGGACAGATAGATCTGCGAGCCTCCGTTCAGTGGAATTGCTCCTCCCAGCTCTGCATAGCTAGCAGCGCCCGTCCAGGCCAGCAGACCAGCCACAGCCCAAACGATGAGCGAGGCGCCCGGCGACCCCGCGTTGGCATTGACCTGACTCGGTGACGAGAAGATACCAGATCCAATAATCAGCCCAACGATGAGCGATAGACCGTTCAGGTATGTCAAGGTTTTATTCCGCTCCAGCGATCCGTCTGTGAAGCCTGGTCTGTCCGCGGACGGAGTACCTAGGGGCGCGTAACCACCCTGTGTTTGCGACAGCGGGAATAGATTGCGCCCGAAATCAAAAGCTGAGGATATGGAGAACGAGCTCTGAGCTCTGTGACGGCGCCCTAGCTCGGCATCTTGATGCGATTCTGCGAGAGGATCTTCGTCCTCAAGGGAGAGCTTGCGGGATGAAGAGACACCGTCGGGGGAAGAGGAGCGTGAGGACCCGCCTACGGAGCCGGGAGATGAGGATGCGAGGGAGGCGAGTTCTAGTGAGTCTCGAGGCGCAGCGAGGCTACCATTCCTGTTCCCTTGATATGTATTCGACATGTTCTCTTTGTGTCCGTGTGGTATAAATCGTCGAGGAGAGGGAGAGGGTAGCGGAAAGGTATGTCGTCAGGAGTAGCCAAGAGAAGTCTCCATTGCCTGAAGAGAATGTCAAGAACGAGAATGTCAAGTCGGTAGAGGAGAAATCTCCAAAGTGAGTTGAAGTAAAGAAGAAGAAGAAACCGCCAAGGGGGTGTATTTTCTTGTCGATCGCCCGGCTCTCCCTTGGCCTCGACCCTCATTTCCGGGCCCCCGCGATTTCTTTTTTCTTCAATTGCACTTCCACATGAACAACCTATCTTCTTTATGCTGTAGAAGCAGCCAGGGTCTCAGAGCTGTAGCTCGGCCTGTACGCTATGCTTCAACCTCAGCAACCCCGACGTCACCGAAGTCCCCCCGTTCCAACTCGCGCCGCTGGCTAAGCATCGCCTTCGTAGGCGCAACAGCAGCAGGTGCAGGCGCCTATATCCAATCCCAAAATACATCATCCGCCACCTTGAACCCCGAAACATTCACCAAATACAGCATTGTATCCCGCGAGCCCGTGTCGGCAACCAGCAGCCTTTTCACGCTGCGGCCACGCATACCCAGCGACAGCAACTACGATGTCTACGAGGAAGCATGGCAGACGGGAGTCTGGAGTGTGATGTTCAAGCAACCACAATTACAAATCGGACGGGATTACACGCCGCTGCCCACGACGGCAGCGACATCGCTAAGTGTCGACGACGAGAACGAGGGCTGCCTGCGCTTCTTCATTCGAAAGGATCCCTTCGGAGAGGTCTCGCGCTACCTGCATAATATTGCTGTTGGTGCTGACGTCGAGATTCGTGGACCCAAGATCGAATGCGCGATCCCGAAGGAAACGAGTGATATTGTCTTTATTGCTGGTGGGACGGGGATTGCGCCAGCTCTGCAGGCTGCGTATTCTCTTTTGAATCGCAAAAATACTGAACATCGACCGACGATCCATATCTTGTGGGCGAATCGGATAAAGGATGACTGTGCTGGTGGTCATAGTGACTCGCTGAAGCCGCAGTCACGCCGGGGCTGGTTCTCTGGGTGGTTTGGCTCGAAGAGTCGGGATAATACTTCGGAAAAGCCTGTGGATGTTGTACGAACAGAAGAAACTTCTATTATTGTGCGAGAGCTAGAGGCACTCAAGGCCCAGTATCCCGGGCAGGTTATTGTGGATTATTATCTGGACGAGGAGAACACGTTCATTGGGAAGGAAGATATCCGAGGTGCTATTGCACCAGCGTCAAAAGGCAACTCTCGCAGGAGCAATTTGATTTTGGTTTCTGGTCCTGAGGGGTTCATCAGCTACATGGCTGGGCCTAAGCTGTGGGCGCAAGGTCAGGAGCTCCAGGGCCCCCTAAAAGGAATCATCAAGGAGCTTGATCTCAAAGAATGGGCTGTGTGGAAGCTCTGAGCACTTTCTCTTGGGCTTTTGTACCAACATCTGAAACATTTTTGTCATTAAAGCATATATATAGCATGGATATACTGGGAGTTATGTTGAATAAACAGTCGCAACTGTCCTGGACACATTCTGGCGTCCTTTTTCGTTACCCATCACACGTTCCTGGCCAAAAGCCCTAGGTTGGATTCGCTCAAACACCGATATTATATCCAAACGGATCTACTGTGCTGTAGCAAAGTCCTCGAGGTACTTTACTAGCTTCTGCACGTTCTCCAATGGGACAGCATTGTAGTTGCTGGCGCGCATACCGCCTACACTACGGTGGCCCTTGAGGCCCTGGAGAAGACGCTTTTCAGCGCCAGCGATGAACTCCTTCTCCTTTGCATCATCACCGCCGCTGACACGGAAGCAGATGTTCATGCGGCTGCGGACGCTAGCGTCAGGAACAACCTGGTACACTTGCGGGAACTTGTCCAAAGCACCGTAGATAAGCTCTGCCTTCTTGTTGGCTACTTCCTCTTGCCCGCTAACTTTTTGAGCGCTGAACTCGGCCATCAGGTCGGCCATGACCTGGCCGGCAATCCAGAGGTTGAAGATGGGGAGGGTGTTGTAGAGGGAATTGTTCTTTGCGGTGATTGCGTAGTCGAGAACTATTGGGCCGGGAAGACCGCCAATGTTCAACCGGTGGAGGAGAGCAGGGGAAGGAGTCGCGGTCTGGGGAGGGAGGAGATCCTTGCGAACGATGGCAATGGTGATACCGGTGACACCAATGTTTTTTTGTGCGCCGCCCTGTATATATTGTTAGTGTACTACACTCATGACGCGGAAAGATTGAAGTCAACGTACGAAAATGACCGCGTATTTGCTGACATCAACCTTCCGGCTGATGAAGTTGGAGCTCATATCGGCGACCACGAGACGCTCATCTTCAGCATCCTGACCCTGAGCCTCCAATGACTTGGGGAACTGCTGGAACTCGACACCATCGACGGTCTCGTTGTCGCAGAAGTAGACAAACGCAGAGCCCTTGCCGCCCTCCTTCTTGGTAGGAGTCAATGACCAGGTATCCTCAGCGGGGATTTTTCCGAACTTCCCTCCGTTGGCCTTGCGAGCATCAAGAGCAACATTCACATATTTCGAGCCGATCAGTCTACTCGCTTCCTGGGAAGCCTTGAGCGACCAAGACCCAGTCACGAGGTAATCCAGCTTGAGTTCCTCATCGACCTCCTTCTGAAGTCTCTGGAAGACCAATTCGTCAACCTGAGCCTGCTCCGCACCGGGCTGTGCCTTCTTCACGTCGGCTTCAGCCCTGCGGCGGCGGCGCTCAATCCAGACGGGGACCAGGTTTTGCACGACAGCGCTGAACTCGCCACTGCCTCCGGCCTGCATGAACAGGATCTCATAGTTATCGGGGATATCGAGGAGAGCGGAGAGGTTGGCTTTGGCATCGTTGAGGATCTTGTTGGCGGTGGGGGAGCGGTGCGAGATCTCGCCGAGTCCGAGTCCGACGTCGTTGAAGTTGACGAATGCCTTTGCGCCGGCTTCAACGACTGATGTCGGGAGGGGAGCTGGACCAGCTCCAAAGTAGGAGACTTCTTGTCGGGAAGGCATAGTGAGATTAATTGAGGTGGACTGATGTAAAAGAGAAAGAAAAGAAGCGGGAGAGAAAAACCTCAAAAGGTGTGGACCGTAGTGGATCAACCTTGCAAGGACAGTAAGAGAAGATATAGCGATTTATATGTTCCAACAACAGGATTTACTGGAATTCCAACGTGCAGTCTGATATATTCACCGAATCTACATTACACGTTCAATTGAATGTTTTATAGGTCAATCCTGGCAATGGCGGGGTATGAGTCAATTCGGTATGCGCCATTGAGTCACGATCTTGGTTGAGGAATTATTTCTTTGGATGGCTTATATGGCTGATACTGACGAGGTACGTAGTAGAGGCATATCAAAAACCCATCTCACTTTCCAATTGTCTATGATATAATCTATTTGAGAGATCAACGTGAGAATGGCGGGGTTGATCGACATATACAAGGTTGTATAGTATGAAATGGTTGTCTTCCAAAGGTGCATGTATGAAGTAAGTATGAAATAAACTCTTCTTCTCTTCCTAGACCCAGTTGCTCTTTTCGTAGGTCTCTTCTTCCTCTATGTTGTAAGTAGTTGAGATATGAAAGATGAAGACCATGACCGATATCGGCGAAAGAGTCACATGCTGTCATCATCAGGTGACTGGTTTGTAATGTTTGTCTCGCCACCTTTGAAGTTACATACTTGCATCATGCATGTATAGTGTCAAATCTCAGGCCTAGCTAGTAGCAAAGGGCCTAGGACTGCCGGTACTTATTTCCATGTGCCTCAAAAGGGGAGGAACTCTCTATGTCAGTTTGAGGATTCGAAAAGTGGGATGTTTTTGTGAGCAACTTGTCATTCTAGTTAGGACATGTACAAAGCCCGTAACCATTATGGGATATCATTTTAAAGCATGAATGTTCAAATCGTTCAGCTCTCTGGACTTGCCTGTTAACTCCAGTGAATCTTCAATTATCAAGTCTATACTCGGCGGGATTTGTTTGAAACTCTCCGAAGTCCGTAGTATGGCCTGAGGATGTTAGTTTGGGGGCCATTTCGGGGCTTGAGGTATAAGTGCTTCGCTCTTTTCTGTCAAGTTTTTAGTGAAAGTAATTGATTTCTCCATATTTCTCACAATGAGCCAGTCCCAAATACATTTATCTAGAAAGATATTGCTGGTGGTTACTACCGGAGGATTCACACATGCCGGTAAGATGGAACATGAAACATGAACAGATAGACCACTAAATAAGAACCTATACAGCCCCTGTTTTGGAAATTGGCCGGGTGCTCGCGGAGCGTGGCCACGAAATTGAATTTGCAACACTTGAGGGACAAGAGAGCTGGGTGAAACCTGAGTATGACTTTGTCAACAAGCTTCATCAGTTAGGCCCCGGACCAACCCCCGAGCAACTCGATGGTCACTATCGGCGTATGCAGGCATGGGATATCTCCAAGGGTGTCGGACAAGCTATGGAATCCAAATACATGTTCGACTCCTTCTGGCCTCAAACCTACCATCGTCTCAAAGAGATCATGGATGACCCTGCGACTCGACCGGACATGATAGTTGCGGATTTCTTTGTCGAGGCAGCCAACGATATTCACTTTGAGTATAAGGTACCAATCGCCATCATCTGTCCCAATATGCCTTTATTCCAGTTGCCCTGCCCGTACATCCCAGGCCAGCCAGGCTTCCAGCTTCCAGGGACCATGACATCCGAGGATACTTCCATGTGGCTACGAATCATGAACGAGATCTTCTTTTTTCCAGATCTACCAGCTATCGTACGCGCAGGAAAATGGAGCAAGAAGATGCGAAGCGACAATGGCGTCTTCTATCCGCCTCATAAGCCCAGCAAACCAGACTATCTCATATTTGTCAACTCCTTCTTCGGGCTGGAAATCCCCCGCGATCTACCTCCAACTGCTGCTCCTGTTGGTCCTCTCTTGAGTCCGACATACCCGCCACTAGACCAACAGTGCGGGCCATTCTTGGCCAGACATAAATCAGTTCTTTATATCGCCCTTGGTACTCATATCATCCTGCCCCATAAGGATGCTGCGAAGATAGTGAAGGCCGCGAATCGCCTCCAAGAGGATGGTATGATCGATGGTGTGATCTGGGCTATGGGCAAGACATGTCGAGCAGACCTTGACCGCAGGTAAGAAACCCTACCATTAAAGAATCAAATCTCTCTCCTCACGGCTAAAACCTTGCTAGCGCATCCTTCCAATTCAACACAGGCGATAAAAATGAAATGGAAATCACCCTAGGGGATCTACTTGACAACAAACATCCGAATTGGATCTTCCCCTTTTTTGCACCTCAACGTGCTATCCTCGACAACGAATCAACCAAGCTCTACTTCACCCATGGTGGAGGTTCTAGTGCTAACGAGGGTCTTTACCATGGAAAGCCAATGTTATCAATGGGTATCTTCTCGGATCAGATCGCCAACACCGCTCGGCTGGTCGCCGGAGGTGTCGCCGAGTCTTTGAGTAAACTCAACTTTACATCAGATGAGGTCTACACCAAAGCCATGAAGATTCTCAAATCAGAAAACGAGACATACAGCCGGAATGTGCTTCGCCTACAGCGTATTGCTAATGTTGCTAGTCGTCGTAAGTATCATGCCGCCGATCTTATCGAGGAGCTCATGTACGACAATGAGCTACGGTTCAAAGACGGCAAGGAATTGCGCCCGATGCACCTGCAGACGGCTGATATGCGTATGTCTACCTTTAAAGCCAGGAACTGGGATCTCTATGCTGTCAGTGGACTGGCTCTATCTGCAGTTGTAGGATCGATGTGGTTGGCTGGTCGCTTTGCGTTGCGGTATCGCGGCGCTGTGATCGGATAGTTCTGATATTGTGCTTGCGAGGTGGGAAGCTTTAAAGAACACTGTAATTAAGTAGGGTTTGTCTTCATAATATCATTGTTGGTCTTGACATAGTCAAGTAAATAGCAAACTGGCTTGTCTTTGTTCAATTGAGCCATAACTCCCAATGACTGTGAAATATATCTTTTGGTATAGAAGTTCCATATCAATATCAAATGCAATAATCTAGAGAGGGTATCTGAGACTAAGAATAAACAGAGAAGGGAAACAAAATAGGGATGTACATGCAGCAAACCGAATCCCAAAATAGCAAGTACTCTGACTATAAAACAAACAGAACCCGACCTCTTCCTCTTTCACTCTTCCACTGCTTTTGCTTCTTCCATCATCGTCCCTCATTCTTCATCCTTCATCTATCCTCTATCAATCTACTTCATATCCACAACCACATCCATCATGTATCATCCCCCTACAGCACAACAAGACCGTAACAATCCTCTGGGTCTTCCAATCTACGAATGCTGGTTTTGCCCAACAAACTGGATCGGGTTCTCAGGCCTCCTCTTCCACCTCGAAGAAGGCCGTTGCGTGAAGCAGGACCGCATCCGCACTCTCGCCTTCGAGTCTCCTGAATATGGGTTTTATGGCAACCGACTCACCGACCAAAATCCCTTCTTCTGCTTCCAATGCCGTGCCCAGTTTCCTCAGGTCTCTTACCTCTATCACCATGCCGAACACAGCCCTTCTTGCTCATACTTGCTCAATCCCTCTGAGTGTCTAGGAGCTCTCCGTGACTTTTACGTTGAATACTATGAGTGTCCTGGCTCGGACTACATCCACTTTTGATTTCCTTCGTCATGAATACTTCAACCTCATTGCAATTGTGATGGGCTGCTTGGTTTAGAAGGGAGAGGAGATATCAGAGCTTTCGTTTGTTCAGGGAGAAGAAGTAGGCTACAGTGTGGTGAGGCGTGGTGGTTTGTTTCTGGTTCACTAAGGGAATGGCGTGCAATATGTGGAATAGCTTACGTCGCCAAATAACATACTTAATGTTTGAATTCTTCCATTTCGTATTGTTTGTTTATCAGTATTGTCATTGACAGAACACTCTCCAAGGTAAGGCTCTGTAGAATGATCAACTGTCAAAGTGCCCTATATGTATGAAAAAGCCCTAGAATGACACAAAGAAAGGCGAAAGAAACAAACAAAAACCAAGGGTTGAACAAACTCCTAGCAAGAAGTAAGCATCCCCAGACAAAACTAATCACCCTATATGAAAAAGCCATATGGACAGACAGGGATGATGAAGCTATTCATAGAATATTCTGCACAACAGACATCGGTGGTTATCTGGCCTATACTCTACACCACCCCTACCAGACTATTAGCTTATTATAGACAGTATAAAGGATATTTTTATTCTCTTAAGCCAAAATTGGGGTCTAAATAGTCCAGTTACATTGTTGTCCGAGGCTGCAAGGTACTTCCTTGTCAGCCCCGATGACAGGGTAAAGAGATGATGTTTGTTCTGCAGCACAACGTGGGTTTCTTATTTTATTCTCGGGGCATTTCTATTTTACTCTTGGTACTTTCTATTCTTGATTGGACGATAGTCCTTCTAGAAGGAATCCCATTCCTTGCAGATATCCCGCTATTCTTAGATCTGACAGGAGTTTTAGAATTGAAACACTGAAACTCCGACAATATCTTAGTCGAATAGCGAATAAAGAGAAATAGCCAATGGAAATAGAAATAGAAAGAAACAAATATAGAAATTTCTTAGATGCGAGTAACCACAATGATCGACACCCAGGAAGCATGTTCCAACCTCAAACTCGGCCTTATACAGGGCTACAGCTGAAGCTTGCCTCAGCATTGGAATTCTTCATGATACCGTAGCATCTAGGATGACAAGAATAGCTCCCAAGTCTCAATATAATAATTTAGGGCGTGCTGTATTGTCTTTCGGCATCGGATACATCTGGCCTAACTGAGACACGCCAGGTATTTTCAGTACTTTGCGGAGACTGCATCCGGTCCTGACTCAGAAAGATCATTCATGTTTGACAGAATTCTGTCTTTGACAAGGACATTAGGAGTGTTTTGGCTAATTTTCGGAAATAAACCCGAAGAGTCCGTTTCTGGGTGCCTGGGATGATGAATGAGACCCCGGCAACCAAGGCAGACAATTTTGGGATTCCCTTTACTTTCTTATAAGTATCGCGTTGCTGATCGGTGGTGGTAGTTCTTAGGTTACCATTGCATACATTATTAGTCTATCGAGCTGCTATTCATACACAATTGCATCGGTTCTTGCAACTTCATCAACACATCACCACCCGTCACCTCCCGTCTACCACTTTGAAGCGATCCAGCAGTTATCTCTGCCTAAATAATTCGTCATGATGTTTCCCGCCATGGGCCGAGGAGGATACAATGCCCCCGCCAGCAGATCTTGCCCCAAGCTTTTGCCTGGCCAAAATTAGGCCGTCCAGAATGTGCATGATGGACAATGCACTCCCAGCAACCATTTCAATCATGTCAATTGCAACCAGCAACCGGTTGATGTCACGACTCTTGCCGAACAAGCAAGCTATCATAAGACGGCGATGCAAGTCAACCTCGTCGGAGCCATACTTGAATCGGAATGTTCATTTGCCGACACAGAATCTACGACAGTCAGCTCGCCATCCAGACCAGCAAACCAAGACAAAGACCCTCCAGTACTTACTTCTCAAAGACAACCCCCAACACATCCTCGACATCTCCACTCTCGCCTTTTCCTGTGATCTTAGCCAGCATATCAGCCGCAAAGCGCAGATGTTCCGCAGCAGTGACGATATCGACTTCAGATTCAACATGGGAATCAAGAGGACCGAGTTCTCTCTCGCGCGAGGAACTATCATGACATTCAGCAGAAGATGCTTGAGATAGGAAGTCGTCCAGATGATCGAGACATATTTGAAGATTAGAGCTTTGGCGATGCGAGACACCTAGAGAATCTTCCCAATACGAGATATCATATTGACCTCCATCTCCGCCCACGCCAAGAGGCGAGGCAATCTGCTCAAACGTCGCAATTAGTCCACGTAGAAAGACCTGTAGATTACCCGGGTCTGTAGTGGTATTGAGAGACGATGCTCCCTGACGGGCTTCCTCGCAGGAAATGGTAAATACACGGTCTACCGGGACCGAAGGGAAGATGTCGTGGATCGTATCTGACAATGACTGCGGCACACCACTTTCCATGGCAGTGTGTAGCTTGTCGCATTTGTTGACAGCCACAACGAGGCACTTGCCTGCTTCCACGCAGTCATTAACAGCACCCAGAACCTCCGGCTCAACGAATAGCTGGACGCCAGTGGCAGTGTCTTCCAGCGAAAGAACCACAATAACAACATCAGACTCCAACGCCCTCTCCCTAGCCCGGCGAATGCCCTCTTTCTCAACGGCTCCAATAACAACCCCCTCACCATCACCAGAGCTACCCTCAGCCCGGATCCCCGCCATATCCCCAAGCTTACAATACCATCCTCCAAGATCAACCCCAATATCGACAATATCCCTCGTAGTCCCTTGCTCAGTACTAACAATAGCAGCCTCCTTCCCAACAACCCGGTTAAGCAAGGAACTCTTGCCAGCATTCGGCGCACCCAATAGCGCAACCCGAATCCCATTCCTAAGCAACTCGCCCCGCGACGCATTAGCAATATGGAAACCGATCTGCACGCTCAACGTGCGCACTTGGGCCGCAACAGAAGAAACAAGCTCCTCGGTGGACTCATCGAAATGCTGATCCTCAGAGAAATCAATCAGCGCCTCCAGCTCGCCGCGCGCATACAGCAGACCCTGCCGCCACCGCTCGTATCGATTCAGCAATGCGTCGCTGGAGCCACGCACAGCTAGTCGTCGCTGCTGCTCGGTATCGGCGGACAAAGTGTCGCCGAGTGCTTCAATCTGAGGCAGGCTGAGACGGTCGTTCATGAAGGCGCGGCGGGTGAATTCGCCTGGTTCGGCGTAGCGCACTGTTTGCTCTGGGGTGTTTGTCTGTGCGATTGCTGAAAGGACGGCTTTTGTTATTGCGGGGCCGCCGTGGATGTGTAGTTCGAGGATGTCTTCGCCTGTTGCGGTTCGTGGGGAGGGGAAGTAGAGGACTAAGGCGCCGGCATCGAGGATTGTGTTTGCGGTTGGGGGTTGGGTTGGGTCATAGAGGGTGCGGAGGGCTGCATAGCGCGGTTTTGGAAGCGGGTGGTTTGGGCAGAGACTCTTGTATATCTGAATGGCATTGTTAGTCTGGTGCTTTAGTAGTTCTTCGAGGAATACATACCGAGGCACATGCCGGACCCGATACACGCACGACTGCAATGGCTGCTCGTCCAGTTGCAGTAGAGAGCGCATATATTGTAGAGTCTCCATCTAGCATGAATCTAGCTGGGCGAGTAGACGAGAAAGCTCGAGCTTGTCCGGGAGCCCAGCCACGCGATTCGGAGAGAAAGCCATGACGTCGGATACATGATTTATTTGATATAATTTGCCATGGTTGACTCGTTGGCAAGCTGAAGGGAGAGACCCAACGCAGAACTTGGCGAGATGCTCGCATGCGCAAGATTAAACCAATGAAATATTGGTAGATGCCGAGGGTGTTCAAATGTTCAAATGTTGGTCCGATGTTTATATTGCGATAAGGGCGACTGAGGATCGGGCACTATCTTACCGCCTCTATCACCGCCTTCACGAGCCATACATGCTAATCGAGAGCTTGGAAGAGATCGAGAACATAGATTTTGTCTAACTGCGAGTCTTTAAATTCTGATCCTGAAAATCACAAGCAATAGCAGTCCATCTAATGCGGCTCTAGTCAAGGATACGCAGCAGATATAAAACTTGACCACGACATGCGCTCGGAAGTAGGGAGTAAAGAACAAGGCGACAATGCAGGAAACATTGAACATCGAGCTCAACATGCAATTCGATGGTACGCCCTCCAATCATCGCGACATTTCCATGGCAGGTAGTGTTGGATGAAGAAGACGGGGGGAAAGGGATTATGTACAAGGAGAGGGAGACAGGGTGTCGGTGGGTATGCGGGAGTGGATAACAAAAAGAAAAGAGAAAATGATTGCACATGAAGGGATACTGTTAAGATGAAACAGAAAAGAAGAAACAAAGAAATTGTATCATCGCACCATGCTCGGCTCGTCAAATCAAGGAGGGCAGCTCAAAGAGTAGAAGTGTAAGTAGGGAATGGGTATTATACAATCGAGGGCGGTTGTAGTAAGTAGTAAGTAGTGGTATTGATGGCAATGGAGAACATTTGGGTTTGAATCCAATGCATCATCAATGAGAATTGATAAAACATTAAATTAAATCGGCTGTCGGTGATTGACTTAATCCGACAAATCAGTTGGTTTTTGAGGAGAGGAACCGGCAACTGAGGGATCCTGTGATGACTCGCCTTGCTCCGAGACGACAATTGAAGGGGGAGGTTGAGACTCGTTAGGTGAGCCGGGGGGTTGTTGATCGTCTGTGGCCATCGAGTCTGTCTGCGAAGGAGAAGCAGGCTCTTGAACTGTAGCAAGGCCACTAGAGCCATCCGCGCTATCTTTGCTCCCGCCTGTGGGGTTTCGGCGTCTCATGCGGCGGTTACGACGCTCTTCATCTGCGCTCTCTCTTCTCCGTCGCTGGCGCTCGCCGCCGCCTGCATCGGAATTACTTCTCAGACCGAGAAGCATGCTGGCCGCACGATCGGCAACGTCTTCGCCTTCAGATACTTGAGCTTCCTGCTTGCCATCTTCCGGCGCGGTACTCGGAGGGCTCAGAAGACCGGTCTCGTCATTATTATCGCCATTGGTTGTCTTTTCAACTCCGTCTTCGCCTTCTTCCGCCTCACCCGAATCAGGTGGTGGCTTGGTCCCCGAAGTTACGCGGACGTTATGCCGCTCCTTTAGACGAGCACGACGGCGGCGGTCTCGTTGATCCTTGGCTTGAGGTGCTGCAGCACGCAACTTCTCAAGTAATGAGTCCATGGCACCACTTGAAGCAGGCGACTGCACTGTCTCTGCGGTGGGAGTGCTGTTGGCGAGGTTGACATTGATTCGCTTGCGAGCGAGGGATGCCTCTGTGCGCCTTCTGGATTCTTCTAGAGCTGTGTTCTTCTCTCTGGATTTCTTCCACTCGATCAAGAACGAGCTCAACTTAGCAAAGAAATCTCGTCTAGCATTCTCATCTGCGTTGTCTTCACCGTAGAAGACCATAATATCGTCATAAGCCTTCGCCATCTCATCAAGGTAGAGCTGCAGCTGCTCAGCCTTTCGTCTGGCGTCCTTCATGGACCGCTGAACGACTTGGCTGACGCGATCCTGTGGGTGGAACCTCTTAGGGTCACTCAGGTTACCAGCGTCCAAGCTGGCCTGTACGTTCTTAATGTTGCTAATGTACTTGATGGCGTCGGTGCGGAGCTGATCGACATTGATCTTCTGCAGACCAATGACACCGTTGATCTCATCGAGGAAGCCCTCCCACTCTGGGTACTGGTTGCGCACGATACGCTCGACCAGATCGGCAAAGGTAGTCTCATTCTTGTCGTCTTTCACCATACCCAGCCGGGCGAGGGAGCTCAGCTTGAAACCCTGGGCCTGCTTGTTGGCATCGTTCATGAAGTTTCCAATGTCGAGAATCAGACCGAGCACGTTCATCAATGACACAGAGTCCCGCAAGGACTCGCTGACTCGTGCAACCTCCTTTAGCCTTGTGGATATGTGCTCGTACTCTGGCTCGAAGGTGCGGGTCAGTGCGAGTGCTCTGTTTCTTGCTTTCCAGTAGTGATTGAGCTCAAATGCAGTGTAGAGATAGATCTGATCCTCGCGAGTGATCTCGGAGGGATCCTGTTCGCGATCGGAAGTAGCGGCGCCAGGGCCCGTCCAATCCATACTATATGGTGCCATAAGTTTGGCTACGTTCTCTGGTATACTGCACATTTCGTCTCTTTGCAAGAAGTCCATGACGACACTGTTATCCAGAATCTCCTTGTCACAGTGGATGATCATGCGAGTGACCTCCTCGGCCGGGTATTGAGAGAACTTGGACAGAGCAATCTGGAAGTTCTTGGATAGATCGTTCGAGATAATCTGTTTCTTGGCCGTGCGCTGCTTCGCACCAGTGCTGGCTCCAAATATCTTCGTTTCTTTGGCCATGAACAATCGCTCAACCTCGTCCAGTACACCCTTCTTGGCAAGCTCGGTATATTTTTCTTCCTTCGCCTCAGCTGTCGGTGCGTGAGTAGCCCAAACAGTAACTTGAGGAGTGTCGACCTTGTCCCAATGAAGAGCCTTGAGCTTCTTCTTAGGTCGAATGAATGGCATGTGAATTGTAGACGGCGAAACATCTCCAACCATGTATGCGGGTCTCCAGCCTGTACCTAAGGCGGCGCTGGGGGGTGGAGGCGGGGGAATCATCAGGCCATTGGCTCCAGGAACAGGGGGAGGTGGTGGAAGAGCGAAACCACCACCACCGGGGGGCGGCGGCGGAGGCACGCCAACTCTTCCGCCGGGGGGCGGAGGTGGAGGCGGCAATCCAGGAACACCCTTGGCACCACCTGGCGGAGGGGGCGGCGGGAGAGCCATTCCGCCAGGCGGTGGAGGAGGAGGTAGACCAATTTTTCCACCCGGGGGAGGCGGCGGTGGAAGAGTAAAGCCCCCTGGCGGAGGTGGAGGTGGGAGAGAGAAGCCCCCTGGTGGAGGTGGAGGGGGAAGAATCTTGCCTCCTGGCGGCGGGGGTGGGGTAAGAGCTATAACTCCCGGCGGCGGCGGAGGCGGGGGAACAATATTGCCCCCTGGAGGAGGAGGAGGTGGCATAGCCTTTGTAGCAGCTTCATTATCTTCTAGCTTGGGTACCTGTTCCCCTTCAACAACATCGGGATCTTCAGCCTCAAACCTGGGAACCTTGGAAGCAAGCTCGCCTAGGAAGCCGGTAGTCTGGGCAGCGTTCAAACGAGGACGATGCATTTCCACCAGACGAGGCCTCTCATACATCGGTTCGCCATTGCTATCTAGTGGGATGTCCTCCTCGTCTTCCAAAGTCGAGTCCATCGTAGGGATATGGCTGCGCTTGCGGTAAACAGATCCCAAAGCTCCAGGGTCGAGGTGTCGGCGGGTAGACTCAGCAAAGTACTCACTGTCATCTACTTCACCTTCCATCTTCTCGCGCAGCTCGCGGAGTCGATCTGATGGTCCATGCTGGCCCCAGACCTTGCCCTCCAGCTTAAACTGGGTCTTTGTCCGCTCAAGCTGGCGTTCTAGACGTTCCATGAGTCGTTCGCGGTCCATGATACCGGGCATCTGGGATGGATCTGCCGCCTCTGCCATATCATGGTTGTTGGTCTTTCGGGCATTGGAAGCGGCGATATCCTGGGCATCTCGGAGCATGAGGTATAGTTCTCGGGTTTCTAGCTCATTGCGTTGCAATTCCTGAGCACGCAGCCTTTGTATTTCTGCAACCTCGGCCTTGAACGATTCATTTTGCCTTTGTTGCAGTTCGATAATACCAGCCTGTTCATCGATTTGCTTTTGCAATTTCAAAACCAAGCCTTCTGCACCGAGCTCGATCTGCGCTCGCATCTCGTCGCGCTCAGCAATGGCAGCCTCGGCGATTTGCCGAGCCTCAAGAGACTCGTCATAAACGCGCCTTGCCTCAGCATCCGTGTGCAGCCGATCTAGCAGACTCTGCACGGTGAAGGTCAGGCCCTGCCGAAGATCAAGGTCGGGCAGCCTCCGGTCCATGGCCACATAGCTCAGCATGGCGTCTACGAGCTGGAACATACGGAGCCCTTCCTCACCGGAGTTCTCCCGGATGAGAAGCATATGCTGCATAGCCGAGAGGAAGTAGTCATGGGATCGGCTGCCGTTGATCTTGGACGTGATTGCATCGACGATTTGCATAGGATCGCTCATATCCTTAACTTCGCCTTCGATGCTATCCTTCATGCTGCTGCCCTCCCGCTGGAGAAGGTCCTCGTAGTCGATGGCCTCATTATCGCGGAAACGTTCGATTTGCTTGTCGATAACCTCATACTGGAATCCCTCCATCTTCGTCAACAGACGCTTGATTCCACATGATGTGAATTGGGCGCGGATATGGCAACGGAGCTGCAGGTCCGTTTCTGCTCCGTCCACCAGCATATTGATAAGGATCATGGTTGAGACTGCATACTCCATGAGGAGGTTCTCCATGCCAATTCCTCCGCTGCGGTACTCTTCGCTGGCACCGACCAAACTTCCCATCTTTCCACGGCCGTCGATGGTGACCTCGACAATACGCATCCAAGCATCGAAGCGACCGGTCTCATTGTGATCATGTTTGACCTTGTCCATTGATTGTAGAACTTTTAGGTGGCCTTGTCCATCACCCCAGTGGCACAAGAAAGTGAGGACTTCGCTGACAAGTTTCCGAGTATTGAGGCGCGGCGATGATAACGAGCTAACGAGTGCAACTAGCACATTTTGATGCTCTAGGGCATCGTCTGCGCCATACTTGTTGTTCATCAGACCTTTCAAACATTTAGCAATATCATATTCTCGGTCTAGATCTTTATCGCCTGTAGGGGGAGCCGGGACAGGACCAGAGACTTTTCTTCTGTTGATCTTCAAGAGGACATTGGTCAAAGCGATTTGGCCTTGGGCTTCAACAAAGGCTTTCACCCAGCTGTTTAGTTATTAGTGATACGCACGATATGGAGAAAAGGGGGTATTGCATACCTGATTGGCTGTGTCCGCAAGCTGACACTCAAACTAGCAAGCTGCTTGGACGTAATGGTGTCATCCATCACCTTCTTCACATACCATTCCGGGCTCCCTTCTTCATCAGCACGTTCAAGCAAACCAGACATGCCGTCATGGCCGTGAGTTTGTCGCGCATTTTGCCGTCTTTTTTGCTCTCCTTGCAACTCTGTCAAGCGATCCTGATGCACCAATGTCCATTTCTTTGAAGCAGGGTACGACAACATCTGTCGTTTAGCCTGTTCAGGAAGATTTTGCCATCCTCGCTTCTGCATCAGCTCTAGAAAGAGCTGATCCACAATGCGGTCATCTCTCGGTCGAGTCAGGTAGTTATCTTGTGGCCGGGGGATAGCGGCCGGTACAGATATCTGGTGGGAGGATCCCGCATTTGACAAACGGCCCGAGCTGGAACTGGGAAACAAGGCGGGACGGTCACTAGAATGCGAGGTTGTGAGAGTGCGAGAGGAATTGTCCGAGGAGAAGTAGCTTGAACCGCGCGTGTTAGAAGAAACGGAGGAATAGATGCTGGCTTGGTCGAGGGAGGTGCGGGAGTTAGAGGACGAATCAATAGAATAGGAGTTATGGTTAGGCCCATTGTTCGCTGATGAGCTGCCTGGCCGTCCCCATTGTTGCTGCTGCTGCTGCTGCTGCTGCTGCTGATATTGTTGCTGCTGCTGATATTGTTGTTGTTGCTGCTGCTGCTGTTGTTGTCTGGCACCTCGCTCGCCGGGGTTGCTGCCGGGGTAGCTGGTGTTATTCGAGATGTGCGGGTGCGCACGAGGTCCAGGATATGGGACGTACCCATTTGGCGCAGAGGTAGAGGTCACGGTGGGATATTGATGATAGTCATTTCCAGCTTTGCCCAGATGGTTGGGGGAAGGCTCGTGGCGCGATGAGCTAGGGCGAGACATGTTATCGATTGGAATTGGGGTCCTGGTATCGGTGGGGAGGCTTTCAAAGGGGATGGAGGTGATGACGCCTGAGGTGTGTGCGATATTGCTTGGGTCGAAATCCTGGGTCATGTCGACAGATTGAATCGAAGACCGCTTCGAATGGCGGGACGAGCGTGAGCCCGCGCTTCCCGGAGGTGCCAGGCCATCGTAGGGAGCTCCATAACTATCATATCGTTCCTCGGTCGGTTTCTCTTTGTACAACTTTCGTCCGAAGAACGACTTTCCACTCGATGTCTGCTTAGGTTTGTCGGCTTGTGAACTGGTGGGCATTTTGGCGGGCGTCAATAAGATGAGGCAGGGCGCAGCATAAGGGCCCCTCCAACACTCTCAGGAACGGTATTAAATAGGGATGCCCTATTTCGCGATAAGGCGCTGTCGATCGCAAGGGATATCGGAGAAGATGATGACATTCAAAGTGGGCGAAAGTGGCTCTCTGTTACTCTCTGTTTTGTCCCTCCCTGGCTAGTGCTAGTTAGTATACCCGGATTGCGACAACGGAGGCGCGAGAGACTGAGGGGTAAGGGGCTTCCTTCACGGCACGTACCCCACAAAGAAAGCAAAATAGGAGAGAAGGAGATGAACATGCAAGCTTTTTGCAAATGTCAAGTCCAGTTTGACGCCAGGATCGAAGCCCGAGCGTTCTTCTAATCGTTCCATTGATATTAGGGGGCTTCCCGGAGAAACTCCCCGACCGTGCACGTGATTATCAAGATCACGTAAGCTTATACTTGGACCCTTCCAAGGTCGACGTCCACTGGACCGGAATGAACGGAGCTTCAAAGAGAAAATACCTCAGTGTTGGTTGAGCGTGGATACTAAGCCATAATACCAGCCATATGTCAGCATCATATGAAGATCAGTAAGTGTGTAGTCTCGCAGAAGATAGGTACATACTCTGCCACTAAACTACTTCGGGCATGTCCATAGTTCATCCTGTAAGCTAACTAGAACAAGTCCCTCACTATTTACTATATCTATTCCTGATATACATCTTCATTTGGCACCTACCTCAGACATAGCCGGTTCTTTTACACTCCTTCTTTGTTCGGAGTAAAAGAGAGAGTGGAGGTAACTTGAATGGCTTTTTAAGTCCGGTAGTGTAGGACCCATGTGAGCCTACGATCTTTATATGTTAGTCTGGTAGTATAGATAATAGCGCTAACCAGCTGGGGTGGCTATTTTTAACCATATTAAAAGCTATGAACACTACGAGCCCGTTGGCGCCTGCTAGCAAATGCGTACGTATACTAGAAAGAATGATAGGCTCGTAAAGGAGATCTGGGAATGAACAGTGAATGAGCTAAGAGAACATGTTATATGAGACTCAGACTACCTATTAGATAGGTAAACTCATCGGCATAGATGTTCATAACTAACTATATGTTGTCATTAAGAGTGTCTTTATATACTACTATCATTAGTTAGCCTTTATGTACTATTATTAGTTACATACAGGTAGTCTAGTTCTACGAAGCAGATACTATTTGAATAAGGTAATGATGTGATATATCAAAAAATATCAACAAAAGTGACATCTCTGATATCCCGAATGGCCGTTCGTTTGTCGATCTGCCGATCCTGCCGCGTGGACCTCGCTCCGCAATCTCTCGCGCAAACCTTGGAACCCTCAAACCTCACCACTCTATCATCGACTCTGAGGTGCGCTTTGAAGCCCAATTCCCAGCATCCAGCATGGGATCAACCAGTGTCTTTGCCAAGGTGTGTACAAAACCCCCTATTCCGACGCGCAAGCCACACATCACCGTTACTCCGTGACCAAGAGTGAAGACTAGGACCAAGACCTAAAAGAACACAAAGCTGACAAACCAACCCACATACAGACAATCCTCATCCCAGCCGCAATTGCATTATCAATCTACATCCTAGCCTCATGCGTCATAATCCCCTTCTTCCGCCGCTACCACCAGCGCTACTCGCAATATCTCCCACTACATACTATATCCGCACATACACTATCCCTACGCGACCGCATAGCCGATAAAGTGATGCACTTCTTCCTTCCCTCTCGGTGGCGGTGGGGCGCGCATGTAGCCGACCACGATACGATCAGTATTGACGACGAGGAAGGGGAGATCTTGGTTGGGATGGATAGGGATTCTATGAGGCGGGGTGCGCTGGAGCAACAGAGACGTGATACCGGGGCTGAGACGGATAGTCGTTTAAGTCGGGATTTAGAGGAGGGGTTTATAGATGATAGTGATGAGGAGGGGAGTGAGGGGCATGGGAATGTACGGGCAGGGAGGCTTTGAAACGTTGAAGATCACGTTCACATATACATATCTGCATTCTTGGGGTTGGAGCTTTTGTCTATGGATGTTTTGCAGGCCTGTATGATCTGGGCTCACAGGTTTGGTGTTTCAAGCGTGGCGAGTTTGTGAATAGAGTTATTTTGTCTTTTTTTGTACTTGTATGTAGTTATAGATTGATAGCATATACATATTTAGACCCTACTGCTACCAATCATACTTGGCCATCAAGAATGTCTAAAAAAAGACATCGGCTCTACTCCGTACACGTTCTAGACTCCACCGAAGGGCTGGACTCAATTAATCCGGTGAGATCGACATAGCTCCACCGATCCTCATGCTCTGCATATCATAACATACGATGTTGTAGTTATTTTCGCTCAAGCGAAAACCCCCTTAGGGTTGCCGCTTATTAACCTGACTCATGCAAGAAATTATTGAGATTATTTCTCAAGGCATCTATCCTCAGGCATCATGGTAGCCTCTCCTAAAGACCAGCAACGTACACCGGAGCAGATCGAGGACTCCGAGAGCATGGTGCCTCTGCTTTCTATTCATGAGCGAAGGGATGCTGTGACTCGAATGCATAACCAGGACTCTGTGCTGGTTCACTTTCAGAGGAATTGAATAAAGCTGATTGGATGCTCGCAGAGACGACAGTTCCCCCTCACGTGGATGCTACTTGTCTTGGTCCCAGCCTTTTGAAGGATGGTGAGGCGCATTATCGCGTTCTTTTTTCGGTGAGCTTTTTAATAAGAACATTTCAACCTTTTTCTTTCTCGTTATCTGCACAGTGTGTCAAGAATCACGGTCTCTACTGGCTCAGCATCCACTGAAGTATCGAGTTGATTCACTCAAGGGAGGCAATATCAGACGGACACGGCCACAACCAGTGAATTCATTGCTTCCATGTAAGCTCAAGCCGGATCAGGGAGGCGTAGGAAAGTCACGATAGAGCCAAGGAAATGTTAAGAATGGTATGGACGGATGTTTGGGATTTGTTGCTAGCGATATAATGGGGCGTAAGGCCATCCGATATCCGAGAAAAATAGATGCACTGAATCATTAAGACGTACCCAGGAAGACGGAGTTACAATGAGTGTGCCATCGAATCCTTACTCAAGATTGGTGTTCTTCTTCCACTGAGCGAGGGTCCACTTGGGGTTCTGCTCAATGTAGGTCTCGACGAATTCCCCAAAGGCTCTCTTGTACTTCTCTCTTTCCTTGGGAGTATATTGGACATTGTCGCCGGCATTTATGAGGGACATAATGTCATCGAAGTCACGGATTCCCTTCATGGAGTCCTCACGGTCGTGGGCAGATTGTATCTCCATCTTGCTCAACGACATTTAGACGCAAAACTTACACCTCAGTCCACTGTGGTCACTCCACTCAATCTGGTCAGACGGCTTGGTGGCGTTGATGCAGAGAGGATGCATAAGCTCCATCATCTCCGCTTCCAATCCTACCATAGCAACCTTATCCAGCCTGCTAGGCTCGTACCTAGGGTCCCTCCTCCTCCCCACACTCCACGTAGGTGCATCTGGCTTCGTATCGCCGTGCAACGTCAGCCATGCATCCTTTAGCTTGTTCTCCTCGATAAGCAGGCGATCGTCATCAGTGACCGAATTGAAATCGCCCACAATGAGGCCACCACTGCAGCCAGGTTCGTGAAGGACGCTAGAAAGTTGCTTGAGCTGCGCAGCGCGGTAGGAGAAGCCATCGCACGACTCGAGGTGTGCGTTTATGATTCGGAGGAAGGTGTCCGGTGCGCAAGGAGGGATGAGGTCCACGCAAAGTCCATCCCTACCGGCTGCACTCGGGAGGTGCTCGCGAAAAACCGGCCCGACAATGAACTTCCCCTCATCGTTTGATCCACCCATCTCCTTCGAGTCTAGGCTATACGCGAAGCGTTCTTTAGACAGCAGGGTCATGGTTATGAAACGCTTGTACTCTAGGTCCGTCGCGGCGTCTGTCGTGAGGAAAGCTTGGCGTATTTCGCGGTTGCCTAAGAGACTGGCACGAACTTCGGACCTGACCTCTTGCAGGCAGAGAATGTCAGGAACTCCATATTTGAAAACGTGGTTGATGAGATCAAGGCAGCGTCGTGTGGGATAGCTACTGGAGTAGTCAATGTTCCAAGAGACTATGTTGAAATGAGATCTAGGAGTGTTTCCTTGGGCTGAGCTTTGCACCCCGGGACTCTGGATGGGCCGTGAGGCCACGGGTACCCAACGGCGAGCAGCGGGGCTAAAACAAGAAAAATATTGAGGGATTCTGACAGGCATTTTAGGATGATTGGAGGTAGATATAGCCATGGGTGACTAAATTACTATTGGTCAAAACTGCTTTACCGCTTTTCTCTCCGCCTTCTTTAATTGATACACGCATACTTCGTAGATGATAATTGTCAACATGAAGAATTAAACTATCTCTATTATTGGTGGTGATAGAATTAATTTAGGGGATTGTTACTTATACCCCTATACCTGAGTTGTTTTAGTACCGCCTTCCTAATTAGTCCGTAATAACCTAATACCCGAATGGGGATTAGGTTACTTAGTAAGAACCGGGTACCTTGAAATACCTAGAAGTCCAGCTACCGCTTTCCTAATCAGGTACAATACGAAATTCTGCCATATGTTCTACCACTACATACATTCATTCTACGGAGTAGTTTGAAATTGTATAGAAATAAACATGCATTTTAATTAGAAAAATTCGTATGTTTTATCTGATCCCTATAACTCCTTGATTTAATGAAAGCAGTTGATAAAGCAATTTATTATAAAGCAGTTAATGATAAAGAGTATAATGGTAGGGGGGTCGATCCGAGGAATCAAGTTGAGTGTATGACTGATTTTCTGCCAGGCAATATTGACCAATAGTAATTAAGTCACCCATGGCGGCTGGAGGCCTCCGTAGTGTGGAGTAGAAAGTGGAGAAGTGAGGGGACGTGGTCGAATGTTTGAGCGGGAGTGGTTTATGTAAGTTTTGAGGCGTGGGTGTTCCGTGGCGTTAGTTAGACTGACTGAGCCACATGTTCGGCTGCTTAGTCATACGCTGGCAGTGCCCGGGCGGTCGGTGCTCGCAACAATCGCGGGCACCGTTAGCGCCGAAGGGCCCAGCAACTCCAAACGTCAGACTGTAGGCAACAGAGAGTCAGTAACCACCTCAACATAAAGTTAAGATGAAAGGAACCTGGGTGGAACCAAAGGGAGGCCTCGGTGACTCTCTGTGCCTCCCTGGTCCTCCATATAAGGAGCTTGGACACTCTTATGCCAGGGTGTTGTCACGCGACTGGTCATGGAGGAGTGACACCCGTGTCTCGGTCCCATGCTTTTTGCACGGCGAAGTAAGCAACGTCGTCCAAAAAAAGAAACAACCTGTTCGCGATTACATATTGGGTAAGAAATTTCAAAGACAAGTGCAAAACAAGGAAAGCTTGGAAATGGTATTCATTGGTATCGTGAAAGATGCTACCTATTTTCAGTATTGCCCATGCCATCGGGAGCAATTGGGACTTTTATGAACATCTCGAATAAAGAACAAGAAATATGAAACGAAGTCTCTCACCCGGAGAATACTTCATACTTAATCACACAGGGCTCTCTACTTGCGCTGACCGTAAGCCTTGGTGGCATAGGCACCCTTGTGAACAATCAAGTCCTGAGGGCGGTAGTCCTCACGGCCGGAGAAGTAGCTTTCGAGAATGTTCTTGGTACCTTCGGCGTAGCGGACCTGAGCATCGATGGAGGTACCGGACATGTGGGGAACCATGGCATTGCCGCCACCCCAGGGGTGCTCGGCGTAGCGGAGAGGGTGGTCCTTGGGGGCGGGCTGGGGGAACCAGACATCACCACCATAACCACGGAGGTGACCAGACTTGAGGGCCTCAGCGACATCCTCCTTGACAACGATAGCACCGCGAGCGGTGTTGACGAGCCAAGCACCGGGCTTCATCTTGGAGATGAGCTCCTTGTTGAAGAGACCGCGGGTCTTCTCGTGCAGGGGGCAGTTAATGGTGACAACGTCACACTGGGCGAGCATCTCCTCGAGATCGTCGACGCGACGGCAGCCGATCTCCTTCTCGGTCTCGGGGGAGAGGGGCTGGTAGTCGTAGTACAGGAGCTCCTTGCAGTCGAAGGCCTTGAGGCGGCGGAGGACACGCTCACCGATACGGCCGACGGCGACGGTACCGACGACCTTGTTCTCAAGATCGAACTCGTTCTTGGCGACGGCAGCGACGTTCCAGTCGCCGGCCTTGATCTGCTCGTGGGCAGGGACGAAGTTGCGGACCAAGATCAGGATGGTCATGATAACGTGCTCAGCGACAGAGACGACGTTAGATCCGGTGACCTCGGCGACGGTGATACCGCCGTTGGTGGTGTTGGCAGCGTTCAGGTCAACGTGATCGGAACCAATACCGGCAGTGACGGCGAGCTTGAGCTTCTTGGCCTTGGCCAGACGCTCAGCGGTGAGGTAACCTGGGTGGAAGCTGTTATATAATCAGTGGAGGTTTTTAAAATAATGCACATCAGAAACGAACGGAGTGGTGATGATGACTTCAGCATCGACGAGCTCCTTGTCGAAAGTGGAGTTCTCGCCATCCTTGTCGGAGGTGGTCACTAGGGTGTGACCCTGGTCCTCAAGCCACTTGCGGATGCCGAGCTCATTCTCGGTAGTACCGAGCAGCTGAGGCTGCTGCTGGGAGTGAATACCACCCTATATCACAAACAAGACCGGGTCAGCGATTGAAGTATAGGAAGTATGAAGTGAGAATGACCTACATCGTAAAGAACCAAAAGAACTTTGCCCTGGAGGTTTGAAGTTGCGGTTAGTGTACGTGCACCGGAAATATAGCCAGCCAACGGTGAAGCCCGAGCGAAGGAACTGGAGGCAACAGTTGGCTTGAGAGAGCTCGAGAGGAAGGGCCGTCCTAATTGACGGGTAAGAGAGCGAGTAAATACCATCGTGAAGAAATATAAAATATTTATAAGATATATTCAAAATATCACTAAAAAGAAGGTTAGCGCTCCGTTATATACATTCGTGTATAGATCGATAGTTATAAATAGTTGATGAGGTCAGCGTCCAAAAACAGCGTTGGAGAAAACCGGTTGCAAGCTCTGAAGGGGAGAAGTGGGGAATCTTGCAACCCAGGGAATGTGATGTGACTATAAGGGAAATAGTGGAATAGGAAGATGGTAAAGGATAGACTTACAGGTAGAGTTGAAGAGATGAGAGTTGGATAGAGTGAGAAGAAAGAAAGCATCCGAACAGCAACTGGAGCTAGGTTATATATCCCCCTCGCTACAAAGACAAGCATTGTCCCCTCAGAATAAGTCGCATAGAAACGGGAGAGTCGGACTAAACTGGGAGCGAATCCACTTGGAGAACTCTCCGCACGAGGGACAGAGGACAGAATGTAGGACGGAGTACATTGATTTGAATTCATGGCCTATCATTTTCGGACTTGCGTAGCTTGCCATATCCACTTGTATAGGTATTATGTATATTGCATATTGCATATCGCATATTATATATGTGCATGTGTGTATATTCTACTTTTATATGCTATGCTATCACCCATGGACTATTGCATAACTTAACCCTTGGAAAGCTCTCAATGGGTGAACGTGCGGGGGCACTTTTGTAGTATACAGTTACACATACAACTGACGCACTCGTAGTGGATCAGATGCCTCGTAATATCTCTCTCTATCTTCATCGTAGTATTCCATATCACTAACTATTTGGTTCTTCCCATCTCTCCCCCATCAGCCCATCAGCCGATCAGAAATCCGAGCGTTACCCCGCTGAGGAGTAACTATATCTGCTGACATAATGAGGGGTAAAGTCAAACCCAACCAATTTCGTATACGCAACTCAGATACTCCGTACACCAGTCGACCCCCAATAATTAGCATCTCCAACCTGCAGGCTCCTGTAAATACTATCCCACAAGGTACTAAAACACTCCAAGTTCCCCAGCACTCGATGGCATCCTCCTCAGGAGCCATGCCGAACAATTCCCGCACTTCTGCCGATATTCGGCCTCCCTGTCACCTTCTCCAACTCCGGCCCCGCTACTCCCCTACAGAGCTACCCATAATGTACATTGCCTCCTCGCGAGGAGGTTTTGGAGAAATATCCATGGATCCGCACCAGATCCACCGATGAGCTTCCGGATCAGATCATGGAGATCACAGAAAGCATGACCGCATCATAGACGGACTCGAGCATGGGTGGATTTCTTAATTCCCCTTATCTAGGTCGAAGACTGGATTCATCTATCTTTTCGCAGCGCACTTGGTCTCTTTGACAGGACTGCAAATTAATTGGGATAAGCACAATATGTTTCGAGTTGCTCCCCGATCGGGCAGTGGATCGCATTGCTACGTTGTCGAAAACCGAACTTTGAAATGATGACCAGAGAATCGTGATGCCGTACGATATGCTAACTACCGTTGCAACCCACCACCGATCCCAAAAATTACCTACTCAAATCTTGATCATTCAGTTAATCTGCATAGTCGCCATGGATTTCGTTACAAGTCGCATACGTGAGACGATGGTCCGGGGCTTCGGCGCATATCGTATTATCGCATGATCAGTGCGGGGGCCATTCAGTTCGATTCGTCACCCTCGAACTTCCGGGATGCGCCTCAACCTCCGTGTGCTATCGCCAGCAATATGGAATCGTGATGTGATTTCCTTCCAAAATCGGACAGTTACAGTCTTTAAAGCCTCGAACATTGTACATGCACAACCATCTATTGACACCTGTTTTATTCAACACACCCACAGTTAGATCCGGACAAAAAGATCCACTAACTGACGAACTGCCTCCTCCACAAAGACCTCGTCCAGAATTTCGCCGTCCATGAGAAGTAATCGCAAGCCCATTTCCCGCACACTTCATCCTGGACCTCAACACGTGGATCATACCAATAGGTCGAGCTCACATATTCCCCGCCTCAATCATACTCGCCTTCGACAAAATAACCAATATATACGCACACAATAATTGCGCTCTGCACTACTCAAGAGAGCGCGTCTTTTTTCATTAATCTGACAAGCGTGCCAAGATGAGCGCAGGCATGTATGTGCCGACTATCTCGCACGGCATCAGTGCTTTTGTCAGCCATAGCGCGCGACAGTCCCGAGGTTGAACTGCAGGAATACCATGTCCCTCATTCGGCACACTTACAATACACCTATTTTCATAACTGACAGTCCAAGAGACAGAACCTGCAAACCCTTGCCACAGAACTTCATCTTGATA